AGCCCCGCCCCGCGGGAGGCCCCGCCCCCAGCCCCTGGCACGGCCCCGATTTTTTAAAACAGATATTCGAAGCCCACAGCAGAGAATGGGAAATCACAAACATCGTGCGCCCACTAGCCAGCTCTGTTCAGTCTGAACATTACACCCGCATTGCTTATTAACAAACCAAACAAAACCGCAGAAACGCATGTGGTGAAGCTCCTCACTCTCCCCTTCCCTTCCCCCTCCCTGCATCCAAAGGAAATCTCTCAAGTTGGCCTGTCTCAACCCCTGCAGGTGTTGCTTTTACTCCATATTTACCAGGCCAGAACCAGGGCTTAGGATCATGGGGCAATCTTAGCTTAGCCTACATGACATAGTTTTTGTTCCTCCCCAGAATTCGTTTTTCCCTTAATATTTGGCTTCAGATTCACCATATGTTCAGCCAGGCTCGGTGGCTCACGCCTGTAATCCCAGCACTTTGGGAGGCGAAGTTGGAAGGACGCTTTAGCCCAGGAGTTCTAGACCAGTCTGGGCCACATAATGAGACCCCTATTGCTACAAAAAATATAAAAATTAGCCGGGTGTGGTGGTGCCAGCCTGCAGTCCCAGCTACTCGGGAGGCTGGGGTGAAAGGGTCCCTTGAGCCAGGGTAGTCGAAGCTGCAGTGAGCCATGAAGGGCCACTTAACTCCAGCCTGGGGGACAGAACAAGACCATCGCAAGAAAGAAACAACAAATACAGCCATTTTCGGCCGGATGCAGTGGCCCACTCCTGTAATCCCAGCCCTTTGGGGGGCGGAGGCAAGCGGATCACTTGAGGTTGGGAGTTCGAGACCAGTCTCACCAACATGGTGAAACCTTGTCTCTACTAACAATACAAAAATGAAGCCCGGGCACGGTGGCTCACACCTGTAATCCCAGCACTTTGGGAGGTTGAGGAGGGTGGATCACCTGAGGTTGGGAGTTTGAGGGGAGCCTGACCAACATGAAGAAACCCCGTCTCTACTAAAAATACAAAATTAGCTGGGTGTGGTGGCGCAGGCCTATAATCTCAGCTACTCGGGAGGCTGAGGCAGGATAATTGCTTGAAACTGGGAGGTGGGGGTTACCGTGAACCGAGATAGCGCCATTGCACTCCAGCCTGGGCAACAGGAGCAAAAATCCGTCTCAAAAAAAAAAAGAAAAGAAAAATTAGCTGAGCATGGTGGCACACCAGTAATCCCAGCTACTTGGGAGACTGAGGCAGGAGAATCTCTTGAACCCAGGAGGTGGCGGTGTGGAGGTTGCAGTGAGCCGAGATCAGGAGATCAAGCCACTGCACTCCATCCTGAAGGACAGAATGAGACTCTGTCTCAAAAAAAAAAAAGCCATTTTCACTGCTACATAGTATTCTGTTGGATAAACATAGTATCCTTATTCATTTTCTCATTGATGGATAGATACGTATTTTTATTTTATGTTTAGAGACAGGGTCTCACTCTGTCTCCCAGGCTGGAGTGCAGTGGTTCAATCACAGCTCCCTGCAGCCTCCAACTCCTGGGTTTAAGGGATCCTCCCATCTCAGCCTCCCAACTAGCTGGGACCACAGGCAGGTCCACCATGCCTGGCTAATTTTTATTTTATTTTTATTTTTATAGAGATCAGGTCTTTCTGCGTTACCCAGGCTGGTCTCAAACTCCTGGCCTCAAGTGATCCTCCTGCCTCAGCCTCCCAAAGTGCTGGAATTATGGGCCTGAGCTACCTCACTCAGCCTATTTTAAAATATATTTCAGATTTTATTTATTGGCTTTCTTTTTCTTTTTTTTTTCTTTTTTTTTTTTTGAGACAGAGCTTCGCTCTTGTTGCCCAGGATGG